AAGACACATGCAGAGCTTTCCTTTTCATTGCCTTCTCCAAAGCGCAACTCCGTCTTTCAAACCCACAGCCACATCCGGCCGCAATCCGGGGAGGACCCCTGCGAATCAGGCCCCCACAGCTTCCATCTTTGATAGTGGAGCAAGCCACCGAAAAGGCGTAGGCTTGCAGAACTTGTGAAATCGCATTCTTCAAGAGATCTTTGATATAGAAATCCTCACTTTCTGGAGGCCTGCGGTTTGGCCGGCAGCAGAGCTTGACGTATCGTTGCTTCTTCCAAACCCAAAGACACATGCAGAGCTTTCCTTTTCGTTGCTTTCTCCAAAGTCCTTCTTTCAAACCCACAGCCACATCCGACCGCACGCCTGGGAGGGGCCCTGCTAATCAGGCCCCCACAGCTTCCCTCTTTGATTGTGGAGCAAGCCACCGAAAGGGGATAGCGTTGCAGAACTTGTGAAACCGCATTCTTTAGCATTCTGGAGCAAGCCACCTAGCAGAACTTCTGCAATCGCATTCTTTAAAAGGTCTCTGATAAAGAAGCCCTCACTTTCTGGAGGCCTGCGGTTTGGCCGGCAGCAGAGCTTGACGTATCGTTGCTTCTTCCAAGCCCAAAGACACATGCAGAGCTTTCCTTTTCATTGCTTTCTCCAAAGCGCAAGTCCGTCTTTCAAACCCACAGCCACATCCGACCGCAATCCGGGGAGGACCCCTGCTAATCAGGCCCCCACAGCTTCCATCTTTGATAGTGGAGCAAGCCACCGAAAAGGCGTAGGCTTGCAGAACTTGTGAAATCGCATTCTTCAAGAGGTCTTTGATATAGAAATCCTCACTTTCTGGAGGCCTGCGGTTTGGCCGTGTGCTGCTGCTGCTTGCTGCTGCTGGACTAAAGGGATCCTGTCTAGTGGTGGGGGATAATTACTCTAGAAGTTTCATTAAGGCTACGCAAGTGTTAGGGACTATAGGGATCCTGTCTGGATACTCTAGAAGTTTTATTAAGGCTACAAAAAATCCAAGGGACTATAGGGATCCTCTCTAATCTGGGGCTGCTAAGCTTTAAGTTTAATGGGCGAGCTAACCTAAAATTCTCTAAGGGATGTCCCATCTAATGGGGAGTGATGAGGCTTATTGAGGGGTAAAGTCTAAATAAGTCAATAGATTTTTGGGTATGAGGGGCAGTCCTGTCTAATCGGGGCTGTTGGGGAGTGATGAGGCTTATTGAGGGTTAATTTACAAACAAACAAAATCTTTTGGGTCTCAGGAGGGGCGGTCCTGTGGGGAGGTGTTTCCGGCACTTCTCCGCTTTATTTGAGGGTAAATTGAAACTAGTCTGACGGTCATTCCCGCGCCCGAAGCGATCCCGTTTAATACAGACCAACGTGTTCATCAGAGCCTAACATTATGGTTGTCTGCGGCACTCCGAAAGAACCTGCGGGCAATCTACAAACGGCATGTAAGCTTAAGGCACATACGGGAGTTCAGACGTTTCGCCCGCAAGCAGCAAAGTCCGCTCGCTCCGCGTCTTTTTGCTGTTGTCGTTGTCGTTGTAGTAGGTAATACTTTCATAGCAGGTCCCCATCGTGAAGAGGCTGATGGTGGCGGGCCACAGCCTCAGGATCAGAAATCAGATCATCGTCGATCAGCCTGCCCATCGAATGATTTTGTAAGACTGGTTACGTAGGTATTCTCACTGCGGTCACGCACGGCTGGACCATAGAGATGAGACGGTTGCGCACAAGAGCACGAGTGGTTGCCTTCAGCCTGGATGTTGGGCCAACAAGTCGTGCCGATTCTTCAACAAGACCCATGTCCATTTGGGAGCAGTATGAGGCCTCACCTTCCAGGCTAAAGTTGCAAATCCGCTGCTCAGCAGATCTCCACCGCCACCCAAGAGGCTGGCAGCTTGAGGCTTGCAGAGCTGAGTTTGTTTTAGATACAAGGTGCAGACAAAGATGCAGCCATGCCCTCCGGCGAGACGGCACTCTTTGTGGCTACCTTGCGAGGGAAGGCCTCGCTGTTGCTTAATTTCCTGCGACTGAGGAGGGTGGAGGGCTTTTGAACCTTTCAAGTCTTTCTCAAGAGGGCATCGAGTTGAGGATGTGGAGGCTTTGATGCTCGAAGAGCAGAGAGAATGCTCGTTTTTTGCCTGATCTCTGTCTGTTGGGACGAGAAATTTCGTCGAACTTGAAGCCCAAGCCTTAGAAGTGTTTAGCAGCCTCGGCGAAAAAGTCTGGGTGGGCCTTTCTCACGTCCATTTCTTCGTTTAGTGGTTGCCAAGTTGGCAGTGGGAAGCGGGCGATGCGATTTCATGTGTTCCGGATGTAGCATGTGAGAAAAAAATGCCGCATTTTTGAGGCTGAGGCAACAGGTCTGTGCTGTGTTGTGCAGAACTGCAGAACTATCAGTATCTATGCTACGGCGAGCGGTGCTTGCGTCCTGTGGGCATCTTGCTTTCTTGTGCGCACACCCGTGTGTAGCCATGGTTTTGTCTTGTTTTACCGGCACGTCTGCGTTCAGGTTAGGACTGCCCTGCCCTGCCCTGCCCTGCCCTGCCCTGCCCTGCCCTGCCCTGCCTTGGCCTTGCCCTGCCCTCGAGCAACCCTCACCCAAACACCTGCAGAGCCAATGCACTAAAGCCAATGATGGGAGTGCAACGAGCAGCAAGCATGCACGATCAGTGGCAGAAGTTCTGAGGCTTGCGTTGCATATCACTATTTGGGTGGAACAGGGTTGTAAGACCTTGTCGCCTTGTCTTGACGAAGCTAAGAGCTTTCCCAGGACGAAGTCGTGCAGGCCCTCCTGGAAGGGAAGGCGAATGTCAACAAGGCTCCTTCGCCAGAGTGCGAATCGGGACTTCGAGGTTTGGGCTGGGACCTGCGGCTCCGATGTAGGAGTGCCTCTTTTGACGTTCCAATTTTACAACAGGTTTCGGACTTACATTCGTGCCTTTCCCCGCAGCTTTTGCAAAGCTCATGGCGAGCCATTTAAAGATTCCTTGGTAAACCATTGTGGCTTACCAAAGATGTGGCTGCCGTGATCCTGCGTTTACGCAGTTTGTCATCTGTCAGTACCAGTGTTTCAGTGGAGTCTGCGAGCGCTCCTAGCTTCCCTAGGCTGAAATCTGTGGGCTTCTGCAAGAAGCATGAGGCGACTGCAGATGGGGCCACTCCGCTGCTGGTCGCCTCACAGGAAGGCAGTGGAATGCAGTGCACATGATTGGCCTCTGTTGCTCTCTTTGCGGCATTGGGCTTTCCTTCTGAGCTTCCAGGATAATACGCGGAGGCAGCTCTTGCTCAGGCTTGCAACCTTTTCAGACCCGCATCCATAGTTATTCTCCGATGTAGATGCATATGTACATTATTATGTAGATATGCACATGTGCATATATGCAGATGTATATGTATATATGTATGTATGTATGTATGTATGTATGTATGTATGTATGTATGTATGTATGTATGTATGTATGTATGTATGTATATGTATGCATATGTACATATATATATATGTATGTATATATATATATAGATAGATGTATGTATGTATGTATGCATGCATGCATGCATGTATTTGCACGAGCGCGCGTGTTAACGTTATATGTGCGCATGTGTATATGCATATGTGTCTATATGTGCCTGGCCTAAACGTAGATTTATGTGTGTATGTATACATGTATGTATGTATGTATGTATGTATGTATGTATGTATGCATGTATAGACGTTTTTGATGTGTGTGCGTATGAATATATATATATATATGTATATATATATATATATATATATACATACACATGCTCACNNCCCCCCCCCCCTGACAGACCGTCGTGGGGAAGGTGTCCGTCCCCAGGACCCAATCTTGATTTCAGTCTTAATCTTAGTCTTGACTCAGTCCTGTTCTTAGTTCTACTCTTCATACCACTATTGTTTGTAGTAGTCCTAATTCTAGTATCAGTGTAAACTATTGTTGGCATTAGTCTTGTGGTAGTATTTCTAATCTTCAGATGAGTATTAATATTAGTATTAGTATTAC